GGGTGCTTCACTGGGCTGGAAAAAGTTTAGCTAAATCAGAAAGCAGGTCTAATTAAGCAAGTTTATTCTATATATATAAAAGGCTAAGTTGACTTACACATGCACGATACATATAAAGCTCTCGCTGACACCATTCGTACGCGTGTGTTTCCATCTGTCATTGTCGATCGTAAATTTGGTTGACACTGCAATTATAGAGAAAGAACGAATATCGATATTAAAATATTTCTTCTAATTTCCTTTCAATGTGCACAAATTCGTGCCCCAGGCCACTAGTGTATTAATATTTTTAAGAGTTAATAAGTAAAATGCCCTCTTTTCCTCTGTTCCAATAAATCTACCTCCTAGGGCAGTGGTTTTCAACCTTCCTAATGCCGCGACCCTTTATTACAGTTCCTCATGTTGTGGTGACCCCCAACCATAAAATTATTTTCGTTGCTACTTCTTAACTGTAATTTTGCTACTGTTATGAATCGTAATGTAAATATCTGATATGCTATATGTGTTTTCCGATGTTCTCGACCCACAGGTTGAGAACTGCTGTCCTAGGGGATGGAATCTCATCCTTAGAGCAGGCTAGTGTCTTTCTGGTGGTTTTGATGAACTATATTTGGAGGCTGGGTGCTAAACCGAATAATCTCTCAGGAATGCCAGCTGTATCTTAGATACTGATATATTCTAATATTTGACTCTGTTTACCTTCACATGGTAAACCATAATGAATTGTTGATCTCCTATAACCATACAGAGAAGCCATCCAGATTTTTAATCTAAAACTGGTAAGACCCTAGCCCTGGCCAGTATGGCTTAATTGGTTGGAGCATTGTCCTGTCCGCTGAAAGGTCACAGGTTCATTTCCTGCTCAGGGCACATACCAGGGTTCCATCCCTGGTTGAAGTGCATATGGGAGGCAACCAATCCATGTTTCTCTCTCACATCGATGTTTCTCTCTCTCCCCCTTCCCCTCTCTAAATAAATAAATAAATAACTGGTAAGGCCCTAAAGGCAAACCAACATCTATACTGAGAACTCTTTTGGTCCAGTAAGTCCAAGGAACTTCTCTAATGCCTATCCATTTTCCCTTAGGGCCCTTGTTCTCAAATACTGTCTTCCTTGTTCTACAGCTAAGTCCCACAGGACAAGCATTGAGATTTTATCTTGAGCCTTGTCAGTGTAGTCTTGAGTTCTAAGTCAAGTTCATTGAAGCCAAAATCCTGAGGGAAGGAGCAACTAATTCTCTTATGTTCTGTGTTTTTAGAAAGACCCAACATGTTGATCTTACTCGTTTTAAATTGTCACTGACCATGGAATGGCCTAGTCTGTTCATATTAACATTTATAACCCAAATTAAAAGGATTATTTTCTGCTGGCTTTTTTCTATCTGCTGTTTTTGGTTTTCTGTAGCTGAAGTTTTCCGTTGAGGTTCTTTTTAACGCCTACATGCAAACTGAAGAGCACTCAAGCTTTGGTGGGATATCACCCACAGCTGGAGTGATGGAGGAAGGGAGGAGAGTACACACCTCAGGTGCATCCTTCTCTTAAAAAAAAAAAACAACCCAAACACTTAAGCAAACAAATTCCATCTGAAAGCAGGCAAGACCTGTCTAGAGAAAGAAAGGAATGAACCTCTTTCCATCTAGGAAATGGATATCAATACATATATAACCCAGATGCACAGGATGAGCAAATTTGAAAGATGTTGGCACTGTCCTGCAGTCCTACATCTCTTTTAATCAAAGAGTGAGAGGTTGTGAACCATGAACCGTGGTGAGAAGTGGTGGAACAGTGTTGCAGCAATGGCTCCTCTGTTGGTGGTTAGGCCCTGTCTTGCTCTATTAAGCAAACACAGTTAATATAGATGAAAGGTAAGCTTGATAGAAGTGAAAATTGAAACTTGGTTGAAGGTAGTAAGCCAGGCACAGCTGCAGTTGTACTTCCTCCTATGTGGCAACAGGAGCTGCACTCACTGGTGTTTTTGAAGGGATGTAGTTTTTTAAAATATCTTTTCTTCAGAGTGTTTTGGTTTTTAACATCTACACCATTGATGAGAGAGTGTGGAGTGTGGAATATGTCAGTAATGAGCTACTTAGACTTTATGTGCCGAATGTGTGAGGTCAAATCCAACTTCAGCATTCTAATCCTATCTGTTAACTGGCCCTGTAATCTTAAACAAATCACCAAGAACATCTGTGTTCCCAGATTTTCTTATCTGAAAAACAAGGAATTTAGATAATCTCCAAATTCCCTTCCAGCCTTAAATTCCATTGATTTATGATTCCTCACGAGGAAGTATAACTTCCAGTTTCTAAGTACAAATATTTTAGAAAGTAAGCATTTCTGCAGCATGTTTTAGATATGAAAAATCCCTTACAAATGTTTATTATTATCACATCAGGCAAATATTAGGTTTGGTTAGTGTCAGTACATAGATTTGCCTTGTTCATTTCTTATGTTCTTATGTTGCAACTCTTTTAAAGATAGTACCTGGTCAGCCAACTTAGACCAGACCCTCTTCCCTATCTAGTCCTACAATTCTTGGATCTTGAGTTTAGCTGGTATAGGTCCCTTTCCCCTTGCTTAGGTTGAGCTCCATTTAGTTATGTCAATGAAAGTGACTCCTCAGAAGGTTATGTTAAAGAATTACTTCTCCTTTTATCTTTCTCAACAGTATTTCACTAGTACTGCCAGCTTCCTCTACTTTCAATGTTGTCTCTTTATCAGTTCCAAGATAGATAAGACTCATTTTAGCAGTTCATCTACATGGAAAGGGAAGAGGCAAAGCATGGCTTAAAATTAGAAAAGCTGTAGTTATTATTCAACTTTCAATCTTAGTGGTTTAAAATGGATGCATTAGAAGAATTAAAACAGTACTTTCTTCTTGAAACTAAAGAGCATATCATCTTGGCTTTTAGCTGAAGCCACCAAAAAAGGTACTAGATCTGAAAACTTTTCTTCTCCCCAGTGCTGGAGAAGAGTTGCTCAAAATGATTTTTTTATAGTTGCTTGAGAAGTCATAGCTAAATTCTATTATATCTTATTTCTGAATGGCCTAAAATACTGTCGTGTGTGTGTGTGTGTGTGTGTGTGTGTGTGTGTGTGTGTTTTCCCTGACTATGGTTCTGAATTCCAATGATGAGTGATCATCTTAATGGTATTTCCTTGTTTTGTATATGTACAATATGATGTTAGCTTCATTTGGTATTTAATTGTCAGTTGTGAGTCTGCTCTCTGAGCTGCTTTGATAGATCCAAATATAATCATTGTTTATTTCTTGCATTTTCCTCCCTGTAGACGATTCAACGAAAGTGAAAGATGAATATAGTGAAAGGGATGAGAATGTTTTGAAGCCAGAACCCATGGGAAATGCAGAAGAGCCTGAAATTCCTTACAGCTATTCCAGAGAGTATAATGAATATGAAAACATTAAGTTGGAGAGACATGTTGTCTCATATGATAGTAGCAGGCCGACCAGTGGCAAGATGAACTGTGATGTGTGTGGATTATCCTGCATTAGCTTCAATGTCTTAATGGTTCATAAGCGGAGCCATACTGGTAAATAGTCTTCTTTATCCGTTCTTCTGAAAACTGTCCTGATGCAACCATGTGAGAAATGAATGTGGGACAACTTTTGATTACTTTCATTGATTTTTGCTATAATTCTGATGTATCTCTCCCTCTCTGCATTTCCGTTTACCCAGTAATTTTTATTTCTGCTTCACAATGCATTTGGCAAACATTGCAAATGCTATGAATAACAGGAGTGTAGAGAGCAGTGTTCTAGGTTAGCCAAATATTTTTTCTTCAGTTAATAAGTAGGAATTGAATTGTATAATATACTTCTTAAGCATCTTATGTTTTTGCCTAACTTCTATGGAAAGCAGATCTCATTATATTGTGTTCAAATTTGGTAGATGAAAGGATATAGTTTTTATTACCAGTTTTAAAAAATTTATCTTCAGATAATAGTCTATGGAAATGCATACAAATATAACACCCATTGAGCCCAATAGATTCCATCTGTTATGAATACTTTTAAAAGAAGTATTTCTCTCCCTTAGTAGCTAGTCTGTGGCTCTTTTTTCAAATTGAGATTATATTTTAAAGGAATGCTGAGTAATGTAAAAATTTACATCTAGTAAGCTCTTCTAGAGCTACTCTTATTTTTGTTTTTTTGCTCTGATTCAAGACAAGGTAATACCTAAAATAGCCTTGCAAGGTGAGTGCTTTTTCTCTTCTGGAGGGAAGTTTTCATAAGGAAGTCTTATGTTCGCCTGGAAACACAGCTCTGAGCTGACCCCAATAAAAACAGACTGTCTAAAAAGTGAGTTTTTGCCATAAGCAACTAATCTGTGCATAGGCTTCACCATTTGCCAGTGATCAGAAATCTCCTTTTTGTCCTTTTTAAAGGTGAACGCCCATTCCAGTGTAATCAGTGTGGGGCATCTTTTACTCAGAAAGGTAACCTCCTCCGCCACATTAAACTGCACACAGGGGAAAAACCTTTTAAGTGTCACCTCTGCAACTACGCATGCCAGAGAAGAGATGCACTCACAGGTCATCTTAGAACACATTCTGGTAAGTGAGAGCGAGGAGCATTCCATATCTAGTAAATGTTTCTCAGTGCCCATTGCGGAAACTAGAAAGAGTTAAGTATGGAGATTTTCATCTGTCATTACTGTTGAAGGGTTACAACAGCAGAGACCTTTAGGGCTAATTACACTTCCATTAAGGCATTAATTGCTCTCCGTCTGGCTCAATGGGGATGATCATCTCCTTACCATCCTTGCTCCCCTAGAGAACAACACAGACAGGAAGAGCCTGCCTTATAAAAATGCCTTTTTAACTTTTTTTTTTGCCAAAATAATTAGAGCCATCAGTATTTTCTTATGGTAAACTTTATTAAAATATTATTTTCCTTGAAAACACACACACACTTTTCATTCAAAATCTGGACAAGCCATTGTTGTATAGTTTGTAAATTATGTAAAACTGTAAACGGTATAAATCATTAGTAGGTGGTTACTTTTGGCTATTCTGGGCTAAACTTGAAGTTTTTTTTGGCCATTCTTGGCTAAATTTCTTTTTAATTGAAATATAATTGACATAATATATCATTGTATTAGTTTTAGGTGTACATGGGCTAAATTTCTTAAACTCAGCTTTCTTCTTGATCAACCTTATTATTTTTAATCTCTAAAAGAGGAGCAGCAATAAGAATTCATAAAAAACAATGTTCTGTCTTGTTTTTCACTTCTTATTTTAACCAAGCAAGATGATAAATTTGTTTTCAACATTTAGAACTTCCCTCCTAGAAAAATAAAACTGACTTTATTTTTCAAATTTGGGACCTCATGTTCTTGATGTTATCTGACAACATTTTAATTGAAGAAGAAAAAGAAAGGTTTGTTTTTATGTCAATCCACACACTGCTTTGACTAAAACTCAGCCCCAAATCCTCAAATGATCACAATTCAGAGACTAAGGAATAATCAAATCAGCCCCAACAAAATCCACCGTGAGACATCATAAGTAGCAAAAGAAGCGTTTTATTTACAACTTAGTGTTCAAAGAAATGAATTAAGGCTGAGTTTGGTCCAAAAAATTAGAATAGTTCTCTTCTGTTGCTTTTTTTCAACTAAGATCTAACAGTAGTAGTCATTTTTAAGACAGATTTTAGAAGACACCAATTTATGCAGAAACTTAACATTTTTAGCCCTAGCAAACCTACATTTATTTTAATTTGGGATTCCATAAAGATCTTTTAGTGCTTTAAATCCCAAAGGCTCTGTTTTAAACAGAGCAAGAGGATTAGAAAATAAAAATCTCAGTTTCTAAAACTCTGACAAATTTATAGGGTACATTTTATCAACAGATCAGAAAGGCCAGCCCTGCACACAGAGTTGAAGTTATTTTTTAGATATTTTAAGCAATAGAGCATTTGGAAGAGTTGGGGTGATAAATGGCCTGAATTGTATGGATGAACTTTTGAGGAAACCTTTATTTCATCTTAAAAATTAAGATGAAGTCATTTTTGCAATTCATCCTTATTTCTGTTATTCAAAATTATTCTTAGTTTATTGCTCAGTTTTTATCAATTTAGCACAGACTTTATATTTATATCCACCTAGCAAGAATGAGCTAAATTTTCCAAATATGTCAACATTCTAAGGCCATCAATTTCTAGCTGAATGGCTAACTCCCACAACATCGAGCATTTTTTACTTCCAACCAGATGGACATCATAAAATAAGTGATCCCTTCCTGTTTCTCTCTTAAACCACACTAACCTGCTTGAAGAATAAAAAGGCCCCATATTATTCTCTGAAGAACCAAGATTGGATCTGGAGCCAAACCACTATGTTCAATGATAATCATTAAATCCAAATCCTGTTATTTGTGAAAGGAGACTGTCCTTTCAAAGAATACATCATAATTCATCATAGACCATAACCAAACTTCAGTTTATTAAATTTAAAAGTAATGCAATTGCAGAAGTATCCAAATTCTCTGGCTGCCCTCCGAAGTCTCATTCCTAGTGAGCAGTTTTCATGGGACTCCAATGCACCATTTGTTCCGTAACCCTGAGGGTCTCTGAGTGCCCCCTGTGCTCTCCTTATAGTTGAGAAACCCTATAAATGTGAGTTTTGCGGAAGGAGTTACAAGCAGAGAAGTTCCCTCGAGGAGCACAAGGAGCGCTGCCGTACGTTTCTTCAGAGCAGTGACCTTGGTGAAACCGGTGAGTTCATGCAGCACTCATTCTGCACAGCATCTACTGTGCTGGGTGGTGGGATACAATAGTAAATAAAAAGACCAAAAAAAAAAAATCATGCACTTGTGGAGTTTATATTTTCATGGGGAAAGACAGACCAAAGTAAATATGTAATGTATACAGTATATTAGGAGATGGTAAATACTATCAAGAAAAATAGTGGGGCCGTAACCGGTTTGGCTCAGTGGATAGAGCGTCGGCTTGCGGACTGAAAGGTCCCAGGTTCGATTCCGGTCAAGGGCATGTACCTTGGTTGCGGGCACATCCCCAGTGGGGGGTGTGCAGGAGGCAGCTGGTCGATGTTTCTGACTCTCTATCCCTTTCTCTTCCTCTCTGTAAAAAATCAATAAAATATATTTTTAAAAAAAAAGAAAAGAAAAATGGTGGGTGGGGAGAAGACAAAGAGGGTAAAGAGGATCAAATATATGGTGATGGAAGGAGACTAGGCTTAGGGTGGTGAGCACACAATAGAGTATATGTTATAGATAAAGCCTATTTTACGGTGTTAGGAGCGGGCCAACTGAATTCTGTTGGTTTATACTGCTTCTGCTTTTTATCCTGATGGCATCTTTGGCTTTATCAAGGAGTTGGATTTCCTCTTTACATTATAAAGTTGTACACCTGAAATTTATAGAATGTTATTAACCAATAAAAAAAGAATGTTATTAACCAATGTTAACAGATTTAATAAGAAATAAAAGAAAAAATGGGGACTGAGGGAAGTTAGTGAAGGCTTCAACCAGGTAACATTTAACAAACTTAAAGAGATGCGGAGAGAGTCCTGCCTTGCTGATAACTAGGGAATAGCAAGTACAAAGGCCCTGGGGCTTGAGTTTGAAGAAGTATAAATAGTCCTGTGTAGTTAGAATAAAAGGACAGAAGGCCAGAGAGGAAATGGGAAACCAGATCTTATCAGACCTTGTAGGCCATTGTAAAAACTTCAACTTTTACTCTAAGTGAAATAGAAAATCTTTAGAGGGTTTTGAACAGAGGTGACATGATTGGGCTTCTCCTTTGAAAATAATCACTCTCCTTGCTATTGAGAATAGATTGTATTTGGGGCAAGATTGGAATTTGGAGAGTCTGGTTAGGAGGCCACTGCAATCATTCGAGAAAGAGAAAATTGTGTCTTGGTTGTGGTAGGAGCAGTGAGAAGTGTTCTAATTCTATATATATTTAAAGGTAGCACCAACAGGATTTCCTAACAGATTGATGTGGGATGTGATGAAGAATGCAGTTGCCATGGACTGAAATAGCAAAGACTGAGGGTAGAACAGCCTGAAGGGTGGCTAGGACAGAGTTGATTAAAACTGCAAGGATTTTCTTTGCATAAGGCTCCAACATCAAATACTTCTCTAGTCATATTTTATTCAGTGTTTTGAATTATATGCCCCGTGGTGATTGGTTGAAACACTAAATTCTTTCCATGTATAAATTGTGCTTTTATTTTATTTTCACTCTTCAGTCGAAATAGCCTGAAACTATTTTGTGTTGCATCTCTGAGCTGTCCTTTGTCCTTTCCCACTGACCATCATCCTGGTTCTGTAGCTTGGGTTGTCTGGCACTTTTATTTGGTCACTTGAAGTACTTGCTTCTATACAAATCCTCATGAGATTTGGTGTTTGACAGTAGTAGTTGCAGTTGAATAGTTTAAACATACTAAAGCAGAAAGATTACAAAAAGATGATAGAAATAATGTGAAACTCAGGGAAAATGGAATGGAAATCATGAGTTTAACTGTACCCGTTTTGAGTGAGAGGAAACTTTTGGTATAGATAAAGCCTATTTTACGGTGTTAGGAGCTGGCCAACTGAATTCTGTTGGTTTATACTGCTTCTGCTTTTTATCCTGATGGCATCTTTGGCTTTATCAAGGAGTTGGATTTCCTCTTTATTTCTAAAGAGAAATATTTACTCTCTTTAAAAGAAACCCATCCAAAACGTGGGTTTTGATATCTTGAGCAACATTCTTAAGGTTAGTCAGGCAATACCTAGGCATCTTCACTTGTAGTTCCATATTTCATACTATAGACAAAGCTCTTTGAGAAATCCCCAAATTATGAAAATCTATTATATTCCAAATAGAGCATACTGTTTAAAGCTAGAAAAATTAAAAAGAGCATCTAATCCTACGTCTTCATTTAGAGGTAAGGAAATAGAGATTTATCAAAAATTCAGTGACTGGCTTAAAAATCACTAGAACTGTTATTGTTTTCATGATTAGTTACATATATATATATTTAATTTATGGAAGAGCCCCTAGCTGGGCAGCTCAGTTGGTTAGAGTGTCATCCGGTAAGCCAAGGTTTTGGGTTCAATCCCTGGTCAGGGCACATACAAGAAACAACCAATGACTACATAAATAAGTGGAACAACAAATGAATATTTCTGTCTCCCCTACCTCTCTTGCTCTAAAAACAATAAATAAAACAGTTTTTAAACTTATGGAAGAGAGAATTAACATACCATAAAATCCATATTTTAAGTGCACAATTTAGTAGTTTTTAATATATTCACAAAATTATACAACCATCACCACTAATTCCATAATATTTTCATCATCCTCAAAAGAAACCCTGTCTCAGCCTTGGCTGGTTTGGCTCAGTGGATAGAGCGTTGGCCTGTGGACTAAAGGGTTCCGGGTTCGATTCTGGTCAAGAGCACATGTCTGGGTTGTGGGCTTGATCCCCAGTGGGGGGCGTGCAGGAAGCAGCCAATCAATGATTCTCTCTCATCATTGATGTTTCTATTTCTCTCTTCCTCTCCCTTCCTCGCTGAAATCAATAAAAATATATATATTTTTAAAAACCCGGTCCCTATTAGCAATCACTCTCCCGCTCCCCTCTCTCCAGCCACTGGAAACCACTAATCTGCCTTCTATGGACTTGTTTATTCTGAACATTTCACATAAATGCAATCATATAATATTTGACCTTTGATGTCTGGCTTCTTTCCCTGAGCACATTTTCAGGATTCATCCATGTTTAGCATGTGTCAGCATTTCATTCCTTTTTATGGCTGAACTAGAGGCCTGGTGCACAAAAGTTAGTGCACTTGGGGTGTCCCTCAGCCCAGCCTGCACCCTCTCGCAGTCCGGGAGCCCTCAGGGTATGTCCACCTGCTGGCTTAGGCCCTCTCCCTGGGGGGATCGGGCCTAACCTGGCAGTCAGACATCCCTCTCGCAGTCCGGGAGCCCTCGGGGGATGTCTACCTGCTGGCTCCCTGTGGGAGCAGGCCTAAGCCATTAGTTAGACATCCTTAGTACTGCCACAGAGGCAGGAGAGGCTCCTGCCACCACCGCTGTGCTGGCCAGCCATGAGCCAGCTTCTGGCTGAGAGGTGTTCCCTCTATGGAAGCGCACTAATTACCAGGGGGCAGCTCCTGCATTGAGCGTCTGCCTCCTAGTGGTCAGTGTGTGTCATAGCAACCGGTCATTCTGCCGTTAGGGTCCATTTGCATATTACCCTTTTATTATATAGGATAGTATTCCATTCTATGGATTTACCATGTTTTATTTATCCATTCATCAGTTAATGGATATTTAGGTTTTTTCTACTTTTTTTACTTTTGGAAAATATGGCTATATTTTTAGAAGGTTATATATTATCTGATTAGCAAAAGAAATATAGTAACACACATACATATGTATATATGTGTATCTTGATTCTCCTGGAAGTAGGGGAAAAATCAGTACCCTACCCTCTATGAACAGTAAGCTCAAAATTATTGATTTTGAAATTAGGTTACCACCTTACTTCCCACCCATAATCTTTTTTAGGAATTTCAAATTAGGAATTATCAAGAGAAGTATTTTAGTTATCTTCAGTGGTAGAAGGTGATTCAGGAAATGCTGAAATACAGAGGTTAATTTGCATTTCATAGGGTGGTTTGATGGATGCGTGCAGCATACTTTAAGTCTCAGCAAAAAAAAAAAAAAATAAAGGGTTAACTAAGTCAGCAAGTTTTGATTTAAATAAAACAAATATGTTGTAATGAACTAGAGGCCTGGTGGTTTCAGGTTACAGAGTGTATAAAGTCACAGTTTAATAAAGTATAATAAATACTTCATGTCAGTTAATATATTATTCTCTCTTCTATTTCAAATAGTTCCCATGATTTTTCCTGAAGTCCAAAATGTAAAGAATATTTAATCCAACACAAGCCAATACTTTAATGATTGCCACTGCTTTCTATATGGTTTCCTTCTTAAAATTTGGGAATCCCAGTCTAGACATAGTGTTCCATTCTGAGCCTGATGATTAGAGTATCACCAATGGTATACCTTACCCCTTCATCTCTAGCTTTTAAAGTGATGATGCTCCATAGCTACTGTGGATGCAGCACTTATTCATCAAGTGCTTGTTGTAAATTGAAGTGCCTAGTGTGAGAGCCAAGCCTTGGCCCCAACCTGCCCCCATCAGGAAGTAGACCCTTAGGGAAGCAGAGCAGATAAAAAGGCTTTGGGCTGGAGTCTAGTCTGCAAAAGAAAGCCACATTGAGCCCTAACCAGTTTGGATTAGTGAATAGAGCATCGGCCTGCGGACTGAAGGGTCCCGGGTTCAATTCCGGTCAAGGGCATGTACCTTGGTTGCAGGCACATCCCCAGTGGGAGGTGTGCAGGAGGCAGCTGACTGATATTTCTAACTGTCTATCCCTCTCCCTTCCTCTCTGTAAAAAATCAATAAAAAATAAAATAAAAATAAATTACTGCAAAAAAAAAAGTCACATTGAGCAATAGAACTTTTGACCTTACTAATCATTTTTCTCTTATTTAGGTAGCATTTGTTGTATTCTCTATGTGTCAGGCTCTGTGTCAGAGCTGTTTGTCAAGATAATCCAACAAGGGAATGGGCACTTGATCTATTGACATAGTACAGAGGTCTAATAGAGATATGTGTGATATTGTTACTTCAGGCCACATTTCTTCACGAGATGTCACAAGTGACATGATCAAGATACTCCAATTCTGCTGTCTTAATGCAGTATATATGAAAAGAAGAATGAATAGGGAAGCCCACAGATTTCATTTTCTCATTAGTTTGATCCTTATTCCAGAGAGGGACTAACAGTTTATATAGAGATTCATTTAGCCTCATTTCACACAAATTATGCATACTTGGACCAGGACATATTTTTGTTTGACAAGTTCTAGCAATTAGAAGATTTTTTTAAGTAATTGGATAATTATATTTATTTTAGAATGTAGGAGTCAAAACCTTTTATCTTCATTTTTATTGTTTCAATTGTGCAAATAGAAGCATGAGAGTTTCTGAATAAACTTATCAAGTAGCAGACCAAAGAAAAAGTTTAAAAGGTTTTAAAAGTCTATTTTCCCAACTGATTATTTTGCTTAAAAATTGATATTATCACCTGGCTGGTGTGGCTCAGTGTTGAGCATCCACCTATGAACTAGGAGATCACGGTTCGATTCTGGTCAGGACACATGCCCGGGTTGCGGGCCTGATCCCCAGTGGGGAGTGTGTAGGAGGCAGCCAAAGATTCTCTCTCATCATTGATGTATCTCTCTCTCTGTCCTTTCATCTCTAAATCAATAAAAATATATTTTTAAAAATTGATACTATCTTACAGGTAATATTCATTCTACTTGCTAAAAAAGGCAGTAATTTTATGTAACTTTTTTGTTAGAATCTTCCTTGGTCTTTGATAGCAATCTTTTGTTAGACAATTCTGATTGCACAATAACACCCCTTTGTTCCACTCTCCATTAGCTACTGACACCATAGAAGAGGCAGGAAGCATGCCTCTTATTGAGCTCTATTTAACACTTCAAGATCTAATGAAGGATTTTGAACAAAACAAAAATACAACAAATTACATACTTAAATCTGCAGTCACTTTGAGAGAGAAATGGCATCATGGGAACAGTTAACAAAAACCAGACAAACTATTTCAGACTTGCACAGAAATAAAAGTAGTAATCTATTCTGTAATTAAGACTTCATATTCATTTCATTATTTATTTTTTTAGCATGTCTTTAAAATCATTTTTCTAATGAAAATTTGTGTATTTACTATATACTAGGCAAGTGACGTGAAGGGGAATTGATCCAGAATTACAGTCCTACTCCTATGCTCTTTCATGAACCAAGAGTGCAAGTAGTTCCTTGCCACAATCCCATATCCCCACACCCACCCCTTGCAACATTAAACTGCCAAACACCACCCAGGAACGGATTTCCTATTTCATCATTTAAACCCATTATCTTGTTCCCTTACTATCTTGCCAAACTGGTTTCCCTCCACTTACATTTCTGAGACATGATGCAGCAAGATAACAAGTCTAGACTGTTTGTATAAATAGACAGTTGGGTCCTAAAGTTGAAGCAGAGGACCAAAAGCCAATAGTCTCCTTTTTCTTCCTTGTTTGTGTATTATCTAAACTCTTTGTAATCCACAAAAAATTGTCTAAGTCAAAAGCATTTATTTGTGTTCTAAAGGGCACTCATTTAGTGGTATTGCACAGCAGCTGGCCAAGAATTGCAAGGCAAAGACTAGCAGTTTGGGAAAGAAAATGAGAGTGCAGCATATTCAATTGAAAGTTTAGCCTTTGCCTAACTTGCCAATTAGAAAGTAGTTAACTCAATAAAGATTAACTTAATCTTTGCAGCGGTTCTCAACCTGTGGGTCGAGACCCCTTTGGGGGTCGAACGACCCTTTCACAGGGATCGCCTAAGACCATCCTGCATATCAGATATTTACATTACGATTCATAACAGTAGCAAAATTACAGTTATGAAGTAGCAATAAAAATAATTTTATGGTTGGGGGTCACCACAGCATGAGGAACTGAATTAAAGGATCGTGGCATTAGGAAGATTGGGAACCACTGCTTTAGAGTGTATTCACACATACAATGAGAGTTGGACTCATGGAGTTGATATTTTGAGTGAGGGTATGGGTGGAAGAAGCCCTCTGGTTTAGTTTCAGAGGATTTCTTTCAATCTAACCAGAATTATGGAAATGGGAAAGTCTCCACCTATGCCTCAAATTATCTGTCTATCCATAACCTCCAGAATTTCATGTTTTAAAAACGTGAGTCATTTGGTCACTGATTTACAGGGTATGATTTATCTAGAAATAACTGTCAAGACAAGCTTGGTGAGTAACCAGGGATAAAAAGGTGATGTTATCTCAGAGCGTTGCCATTTAGTGACATGCCCTAATTACGTTATTTAGGTCAATGTATCCCCGCTTTGGTATCCTCCCAAATATAGAGGATATTGAGTATGTGTCCTCAGACAACTGCTGTGGTAATTGATAGTGACTTTGGTAAAATGTAGACAGTGGCTACTGAGAGACAAGAGGGGAAACTAGACTGGCAGCAGAATGCTTGGGGAAAGACCTGGGACTAAACGTCCTTACCTCTGGGTAAGGACAGGGCCATTAGAGTAGTGACTAAAGAGACTAATAAGAATAGTGGTAAAATGGGGATAAAGTTAAAAATTCCCAAAGTACTGTTCTTCATTCTAATTTCACTTTAAATCTTTTATATAATAAATACAGGGTGTGGGGGGAGCCTTACCTGGATTTAATCCTCTCAAACCAGAATGAATGTTCCCAGTCAAAGCACAAGTTTTGCCTCTCTGATGCTTCTGAGAAAAAGCCTCCTTCTAACAGCCTCAGGAACTTATTTCAAATCCCAGGCCTTTGTCTTTCATCTCTCTGCTCTGGGTACTACCACATCTGGTGGTGGTTTGTGTGAAAGGAAATAATATATATATAATAGTTTCCTGTTTGGTCATTTAAACTTATTCCTGTGCTGGACAGAATTTGATACACTTCACTCAGTAGCAGTGTCCTGTCACTGAAGTGCCAGTTGTTTACAATGGCTGTCAGTCCGAGTTGCAGTACCTCCCCACTAGCCCCAAAACTGCCAGCCTCTTCCTCTGACCTTACTGTTTTCATTACACAAATAGTATTGTTAATAGCTTAAACCGGAGGGTGGGATTTATTTCTTTAGAACATAGAATTATATTTTTTATAAGAAACTCACAAAGTATAGTAAGTATGACCATTATTATCATCTTCTTAATCATTTCTGGAGCCAGATTTCATTTTATTTCTGATTTTTAAAAATCCTGAGTTTATAACTTATTGTGTAATGATTGGTGTAGTGTTTTTAAAAAAAATCAAAAACATGCCAATAAAAAAATGAAAAAATATTTAATACTTTGACTTCTCTTTTTCTAATTTGGCTTTCGCTCTTTTGCCCTGACCATACTTAATAGTCTTGCCCTGGAAGTCTTTCTCTGTCTCATTTACTGCATAGGTGACCAGTGTTCTCTCACTGAGAGATCATAGAATTGGTGACATTATTTCTGTATATTAAAAACTCTTCACTCAACAAACTCTTCAACTTCAGAACAAGCACTGACAATTCCTAAGTCTATGTATATAGTTGCGGGGGTGGGGCGGGGGGAGTGGGGTGGATCTATTCTGCAATTATCACTTGCCTTTTACTCTCATCACGTAACTAAAACCAATTTCTTTTTCCTTAAAGACATTAGAAATGTATGGATCCTTCATTTTAATTAGGACCTCCTGAAATGCTCACAATGAAACAGAGAGAACTGTTTGTAGTATCACAATATATTTGCTTAGGGCAGGAGTGAGCAAACTGTGACCCTCAGACCAAATGTAGCCAGCAGCCTGATTGTGTACAGAGGTTTTTACATTTTTAAAGGGTGGTGGGTTGAGTTTAAAAAACCAAAGAGACTATGGAACACAGACAATATGTGTCCCATTAAAGTTTAAAATATTTACTATCTGGCCCTTTACAAAAAAAGTTTGCTGGTCTCTAGCTTGTGTTTAGCATCATGTGTTAAAGTTTAAAGCCCTATATTTAGAGCAGCTTGTATCTCTGAATTTTAAGCATGAACTCTTATAGGGGACTGTTTGCTGTACAAGAGTAAATTTTACTATATTTATTCCCACTAACTGTTTAGTTGATTAGATATTCTTCTAGTGGTTCTCAATTCTGGCTGCATTTTAAAATAATTTGGAGACCTTTACAAATCTGTTGCCTAGGCCCCTACACCAGAGATCCTGATTTAATTGATCAGAAAGTGGGGCCTACACATAGGTGTGTCTTACATGCTCATAACCAGTGGCACATCTGGGAACCACAGGCCTACACCACTGGAAGGTCTGTTCGTGGATTAACAATTAGATCACTTTCTTAGGCAATTTTTATTCACATTTTTTCATTAGAAATGTAATAAAGATGCATTATACAAATTGCTCTTTAATTTCAAGACAGACGTGTTGCTCAGGGAAATTTTAACTGAGACCATTTTTAAATGTGAAGAGCATATGAAACAGATAATGCAGAGCCCAGAGAAATAGAATTTTAAAAGATAGGAACTGAAAGAAGCATGCTGGGGGGAAAAAAAGAAAGAAAGAAAAAAACCACTCACAATTTCAATACACAAATCACTGAGTAGATTTCTTGCTGTCTGGGTAAGAGTATCTATTTTCAAAAGTGCTATTAACATAAACAGAGCAGTAAATCTGGGGCACCATACTTTTTTTTTTCCAAAGTTGTTAAGAAGAATTATATCAGTCTGCAGGTGTCACACGCAGTTACTCAGAATCAGAAAGAAGGCTGATCGGAGGTTAGAAGATCTCTCTATCTTTTTGCAACCAACCACGTCCATTCTGTTTATTTAATACTTCCTCTTGCTAATGAAGGTACTGTTTGGGGATGGGTTGGGCTTTTCCATCTCAGCATAAGGACTGCAAGATTTGAATGTGCCCTGTTGCTGTCTTCACTGACCACAGCAGGTCCCCCAGGCAAGAATCTGAGCAATAATAACCGGTAACAAAAGATTATGTACCAGATATCTGACATTTTTTCTTCCAGTTTATTTGTTCTTCTTCCCCATTTACCAATTTTTCCCCCTCTTCTTTTTACATTTTCCCAAACCAGCAAGTGCGGAGGCAAGACACATCAAAGCAGAGATGGGAAGTGAAAGAGCTCTGGTTCTGGACAGATTAGCAAGCAATGTGGCAAAACGAAAAAGCTCAATGCCTCAGAAATTCATTGGTAAGAATAAAACCCTTTTTCCTGCTGTTGTTAGCAGATAGTTTGAATGAGATAACATAGGATGCTTATTACACAGGCCCTTCCTAACTTAATTTCTGTTAAAATAAGCTTATTGGTTTTCCATTGCTCACGTTTATTTTTTGTGATTCATTTTGAGAACTAGAACAAATAGAATAAAATATTTTAACTAAAGAATCTTCACAACTGAAGATGGGAGTATTTGGTATCCAATTTCCTAAATGGAGTTGGTGTTTAAAATGCTATTCCTTCCTCTTTATTCTGAGTGACATATGTTGCATGAGTTTGTGCAAGTAAGATGTTCAAGATAACATTTTTGTAATCTTTTGTAATTATATTTTACAAGTTGGTTCCGTTATCATGCTCAAAACTTTTTTCATGCTCTAAAACATATTGCCATATTTTCTTGAATTTGATTCATAATTGGCTTTAAGAGAAAGTGTTTGGGAAAACATAGATTTAAATAATAAGATTTGATTTAGTCATTTATCTTACTGGAGTTAATTTTTATGCCATTGGTTTTCACATTGTCAAAAAATACAACATAAGGAGATGACTAAGAAATAATTATGTCCATTAAAGTATTAGGACTGCTGAAGGGCAGAGATATTTTGCTGAACTGTCCCAGATGCTTACATAAACATGACCATGATATTTAAAATAGATTTGTATTTGTGAAGTAGGCAGCTGAATTAAATGTATCAGTTTTGCTATAAATTGAAAGTGCTATTGAACAAAAATAGTTATCACATGAAAATAGACCTCACTCGACACCAATGATATTTTAGAAATCTGTCAGTCTGTTTTTCCAAAGCTGCTGTTGCTGTTGATGTCTTGTTCCAGACCTTTTGTGTTTATTCTTTTCAACAGCTTTTACAGATATTAAGTGCCTATCTGCTTTTTAAATCTTGTTAATTTATTCTGGTCTAGATAATTTCTTACAGGCTGACATTTTATGTGAATTATAGAGATATAAGGAAAGAACCCATATATTTCAAAATTACCTAACTTGATATTTATGCTTACTTATTTTGATTAGCTGAAAAGTGTTTGTACCCTTTTAGTCACTTTAAGAATAAATTTTTTCAGACTATAGTTGTTGCATTTTAGTTCAGAGAGACCCCCTTCCTCCTTACCATCTTTCCTCTCCTTGGTGAAAGATGTCAGGGGGTATGTAGTGACTTCCATATGGAGTTAGGCACAGTGGACCAATTGTGATGCCAAGATATTATTTTAAGATGTTGCTCATATCTCTTTTGAGCTTTGCTTATATGAAGAAGTTGTGACTGGAGTACAGAAGAAAGCTTTGATTGTTATTCTATGCCATGAGCATAATTTAATTCGGGGAAGTTTTGACTCTAGCTGATGTGGGGAGGTTCATGGGGGGAAATGGGCAAGAAAAAAATGTAAAGTGCCTTAATTTAAATTCAGTTATGGTCAATGCATTTTTGTCTAAGAGAACTAAAATATGAGAGAAAGTACCTAGTTCTTATAGCTACCCCACACCTATTGTTGAGCCACAGCCCTACCTAATATAATAAAAGTTGCTTTGGTATTTTCATGGATTTAAAAACACATATTTTACCCTGGTCAGTTTTGCTCAGTGGATAGAGTGTCAGCCCTTGAACTGAAGAGTCACAGGTTCAGTTCCAGTCAAGGGCATGTACCTCGGTTGCAGTTTCAATCCCTGGCCCTGGTCGGGGCATATGTGGGAGACAACCAATCGATGTGTCTCTCACATCAATGTTTCTCTCTCCCCCTCATTTCCACTCTCTCTTGAAATCAATGGAAAAATATCTTTGGGTGAGGATTAACATAAACAAACCAACAAAAACCCACATGTTTCATATGTCCAGGTCCATGCCATTTTACTCGTTGCATCAGGGATTGATGTTCCATTTGTTTGTTACCATTGTGACCAGAGGATTTTCATGCCTCCATTTCCAGACTCATGAGAGATGCTGATCTTATAGGTTGATTTCTTTCATCTTCTGAACCCATCACATTCTCTCTTTGTGGAATCAGGAAACCCAGTAGAGTTAGCTCTTAATTTGCAGTAAGGTGTAGTAACTGCAGAGCTTCAGGGCACCCAAATAATTGGGGGAAGTTTTTTTGGTAAATTGTGGTATAGTGCAGTAGGAAGAACCCTGGATTAGAAGCCAAAAGACCCAGGTTCTGATTCTAGCTCAGTCATTTCTTAACTGTTTGTGTGTTTAGACAAATCATGTAACCTTTCTGGGCCTCTATTTACTCATCTGTGAAATGAGGAGACCGAATAGGTGATGAAGTGATCAGAAAGGTCCCTCCCAGCTCTATCATTCTACAAGTCTGTGAGATAAGTTAGAAAAGGTAGCAATTATGAATACCCTTTGTGTTTATCAAGCTCTTATGAATGACTTTAGATAACTCTTTTCTCAAGGTTGTATAGGTATGGTGTTTATGTTAGGAACCATATCATATATTTTAGGGGTATTTTTAATAAGATGAATCTGAGATTCTATAAAACAGCTGTGTTAGCTCAACAGTCATATATCTGACTTAGAAATCACTGCTTGTTCATTCACTTTTTTGTCCATTCATTCATCATGAGATGGTTATAAAGCTCCTGCCACACACGTGATATTCCTGTGTCTAAACATTGTTCTAATCTTCTAGCATTAGCTTATATCCTGAACCTTTTAGAGATATTTTTATAAGCTTTTTAGTCATTTAACTGAATCAATCTTTTTGATAGAAAATATCAAGGGGGGCAGGAAAAGGAACATTATGACAATGTGATATGAAGTGATGTAAAATATATGGGGCTAATGTTTCCCTCCTCCCCTCTTCTCTCCTCTCTTCTCTCTCCTATATTTCCTCTCTGTTTTCTGAAAAGATCAGCAGCCAGGGAAATGGCAGTGGGTAAAGTGTGAAGGAAGAATGAGTCACTCCCTTTAATCCTTGCTGACAGTTGCACAGCACTCAGACATATCTTGGCTTCCCTGCCCTCTTGAACTATGAGGGTGAGGGTGAAATTATATAATCAGGTCAGCCTGATACTTTCCCAGCAGGTTAGAGATAATTACCAGTAGGTAACATTTCTCATCCATTAGAATCGAACTGAGGAAGAGGGACCTATTGGATTAAGTTTAAATGCATTTAGAAACACAAAAACCATGACTCTATTGAAGAGTAAGAGTGCAATTACATCAATAGGAGAAAAATAAAATCATTTTTCCCTAATTCTCCAATAAATTTGTATCACTTTCTCTAAAATGGGAAATAAATTGACACGCATTCATTAGAAATCAGCATCTTCCATCATCAAAATAATTATTCTTAGTTGTTCTTTTCAAAGAACAAGAAGACTTTACTTTTAGTGCCCAACCCTTTTAGGGGTTGTCCTTTCTCTGAATCTTTTTCTCCTATTATAAACTTGTTGGACTATACTTCTAACTAGGCCATCTTCAAATACTTGGCTCAAAATAGAGGCCAGATTTCTTTCCTGAGGGGAGGAGGGAAATGATGACATTTCTGCATATTGCTTTTTCTGATTTTCATTCTTTTTCCAAAAACAGATGTGGTATTCAGACCATAACATCTCCTTATTTTATTTTATGCATTACTTTATTAAAGGAAGTTTTCATGTCTAAATGAACATGAAAAAATATCTCACTCACCTGCGGTAAACATATGAGTGAGGTTTTGACACTTCAACAAACACCATCGATTCTCCCTGTGAAGTAACTGAAGAGAAATTGTCCGCTTTGGTTAACAGAGTGACAGCAGCAGTTTTAATACCTGTTTCTAAAAGCACAAAGTAACTTCTCCCACCCTGTCCCAAAAGGCTGGAATCCATGCTCCTATGTGTATTAAGTCATAGCATTTTAGATCTTGAAGGGACATTAGGAACCACCCAGTGAAGTTCTTTTACCAAGGAGGGAAAGGGGGTCAGAGAGATAGGTGACAGAGCAGAGCCAGATCTAGAGCTGGAAAGTACTGCAGTCTAAGGGGCACCCAGAGCAGTGTGTGTCATGTGTGGGACACGGGGGCTGTGGACAGGGACGAGTTTAGACATTGAAGCTCGTGGAAGAAAAGCTCTGAAAAAGGGCAGTCGTTCTCCTTCAAGGGTGTGTTTTCATTTTTTATTACTAAGTTTATTGGGGTGACATTGGTTAATACATTATATGCGTTCCCAGTTTATAGTTCTGTGATACATCATTTCTTATTTCATTGTGTGCTCACCACCCAAAGTCTACTCTCCTTCCATCACCATATATGTGACCCTTTTACCCTCTTCATCCTCCCCGCATGGTGTGTTTTCTTGAGAAAAGAAGTTATCTCTCGCTGGTGACTCCATCAGGACAGACAACATCCAAGTAGCACTTCACAGAGGACAAGACTTCTGCAGCATAAAAAAAATTGTGGTCTACAGCTCAGTTTTCCTCACTGCCACCCCCACAGCTCTCTGTTCTCTCTCCTTCCTGCTTCTTATTCTGTGGCTCCCCTCTGCTTTCCTCCTCCTGGAAGAAGTGTTAGTCACTTTAGTCTTATTTAGATTGAGATTAGAGCCATAATCATCATCAGATATTCCATTTACCCTACTTAACCTGCCTTTTTTCTTTTTGGATATATGCTTGCAGTAAGTGATAATACACATGGAAAATTGTTATGAAGGTAGCAGCAATACATTCAAGTGACTTGAAGAAACTTAAAAACAAAGCAAATCTGAATATTTCACATTACCCATCATGATGATGGTAATATTGGAATTGTGTTATTTTTATAATGTTTAAATCATTTCCCCCTCTTCAAAAAAAAAAAAAAACTTCCAATGGCTCCCCATTGGAATAAAATCCAAACAATGCAGGCAGTCTGAGCCTTCCACACTTTGTCTCCAATTTACCTTTTCTAATATTATTACTTCAGCCAACTACTCCCTTCATTCAGCCACAATGTACTCGCACTTCTATACTGTTCTACTTCCATGTAATGTTCTTCCC